AGTTTTCCTAATTCGGAGTGAATGGTTGTATGTAATAAGCTCTCAGACTGTGTGGCTGCGATGGATGTTAGCTCCGTTTTACACCGCTTTTGCGACAGGGCTTTCGTAATCTCTAGTTTTTCCACAAGGGCCACTGCCAACGACATACATTGCTACCCATCTGCTTCATTAAAACGAATAAGCGGTCTCACAAAGAGCTACAATATTTTTATCTTTCAGAATGTTTGTTCCAAAAGGCATCAGTGAAGATATAACGTAACAATGTTAGGGAAATAATGTAATGACTCGATTCTTTTAATAGATGACCACAATTGAATGAAGTGTTAGATAAAAATATACGTTTTTTTAAATAATTTTTATACTATAATAATGAAGCATTTTCATATTGCATATACATTCAGTATCAATGATAATCTGCTATTTTTAAATGAAGGGCTCTGTGCTATTTTTAAACGAAGATTTTTAAAAGTGACCTAATAGTCCATAAAAATGACCGGTCTTAATAAATATAGATTGTAATTTATTTTAACTGGCCTGTCATTTTCAGTCCCTCTTTACTCCTCTCTTATTAACTTTTTCTCCTTATAATTCTTTCATTCACCTTCCTTATTCAATATTCTACACCTGTTCCCATCCCGCTCTTTATCTTTTTTTTTTATATCCCTGCTGTGTAATATTTCTTTTCCGAGTTCTATTCATTTCCATTTGCGTCACCGTTTTATAATTACATTTTCCTAGTAACTCATTTACATTTTTCTTTCTCTTCGGATTCGTAAAAACTTTCAAGATTAATCAAATATTCTTATACTGCGTTACGGTCATTCTTGATTACCACCGGTGTGCCTGAAATATTTCGTTGTCACTGTAAATTTAGTTTCTTAACATTTAATTTTCCAAAAATTATTTATGTACAAAATAAAGAGTAATTTAAGCAATTGATAATAAGGAATATATTTGTATAAATATACGCGATCTGTTAACAATGAGAAAACGATTTAAATGCAAAATTATGCGGTTCGGAGTTGCATGCGTATGAGTTCACATAAATACGATCGGAGTTCAATTATTAATTATCAAAATTGATTTACATGTTCTCGGGGGAGTTTAATGGAATCGAATGTGTCCGACCAAATGAAACCACGTTCGATCGGCCGGAAATTGCGTTTGACCCGCCACTCCCTTCAGCCTCACACTCATTTTGTCGATCGATCGGCGTAAATTTTTAACCAGAAGAATTCTTTTTCAGTCGTCTTGGCGGTGCAGCGTGTGCCGGCGAAAACTGGCGTCACGGGACCAGCCGATCGTCGCGCAGGAGTCGACCGATTCTCTGCTCGAAGTGCCGATTCTGGGTACTCAGCATAGAAGGCACAGCGACGTGAGAATCTGTCAGAAGAAGGGTAGTAATATCGGTAGCCTCGGTTCCGGCCTGGCGCCGCCGAGAAGTCCTGAGATAAGAAGACACTCCGATGTATCGCCTGCGAGTCTGAAGGAGCTCGAGAAGGTAAGATTTCCTTAATGGTTCTTGTTCGACGTACAACGTGTGCTTCTCAAACAGTTGTGCTTCTCGAGTATACACCTACATAGCTTAGAGTACATTGCATTCGTTTTCTCCGTCGTCATTCATGATTCAGGATGTACGAGGTACGGTCTAAAAAATAATGAAACCAGTTCGGTAAAATTATATGTTTATTGCATATTTCATACATATCATATTTTAAACAATAAGAGAGATTTTATGATAGATAGATAATATTAGATTATCCTCCATTCTATCATTAAAGACAAATTATTAATTGATACACATTATAAAACATGACAGTCTCTGCTAAACAAATGTCAACGATGTTTCAAGAAATTGAGCAACTAAAAAATGTATAATAATAAATTATTCTCCATATTCAATCATTAAAGACAAATTATTAGTTGCTACACACTATAAAACATGACAGTCTCTACCAAATAAATGTCAACGATGTTTCGAGAAATTGAACAGCCAAGGAATTATAATTTACATTATAATGTTCGCACGAGCTAGACTCATATGTGTCACTGGGGCAGGTCTAAAACGCATCGTAATTATGTTGATCAATATTTCCCGCTTGAAATGAAACGAACTGTTCACGTGCTTCTACGGAAAATATAATCCGCCGTTTGTTCGCTTAAGTAACAACTAATCTCGCACTTACAATCGGTAGCCCGTTAATCTAGTTATTATCTCGGATACAATCGGAGCGAGGAAAACATTAACTCTTCCGAAACTGATTGTAAGTAATTGTTTGAAGCCTGAATATTCGCAGTATACCGTCGTCTATGCTTTCGTCGTTTGGTCCCTCGCGCCAGTCTAGGGAATACACACACTGTCACGTTCGCCTTCAGCGACATTTCACTTAAGTTTGACGTCATCGCGGGCTATTTGTCTTGCAATATGGTGCCCCGTGGCTTGTGACGACGCATGTTTTATGTGTTACGCTTTAAGAGTACACATGTATGTACGTACGTATGCTTTACCCTGTCTCGTGTTCTTGATCGCAAAATAATGACTCGGATTCCTTTTTCATATCGCCTTCGAGTAGTTTAGCGTCGAATTTGAACTTAGAGTAAACTAGTATACAAATGTAGTACTAGATTGCTTCAATACTTTCGGTAGTCATAGTATTTCATATATAATTAATAGAATTACAACTATAAAGGGTTAATTGCATCAAGTTTTAGTATGTCAATTTTTAAATTATTGGTTTAAACGTAATATAGTTTTGAGTACGAGATACGTTTCCAGAGATTGTGTGTTTGAGGGAAACAAAATGTTACTATTGTTTAAAACAAATCGCAGCAAGAATGCATTTTTCGATGTCCAAAAGAAAGTTATCTACTATAAAATAATTATTTCCTGTAAACTTTAAATGGTGACTCTAAGATGTCAAGATACTATCAAAGCATAAAAGATATTACTGACTGTGACCATTTTTATCTATGATCTTAACTGACTGCTATTAACGAACGTTCAAAATGTAGTTTAAAGCAGGGAATAAAGAGTTCTACTGGAGGACGAGTCCTTGAATAAAGCGTGCATGTTAAAAAGGATTTTCGCGGAAGGCTCATCTACGAGTCACGGTGTATGTGTGAGATTAATTCGTCGGCGTTGTTTTCAGTCTTCCGATACAGATACGTCGATTAGAATTGGCAGGAAATTCGGTTCATTCAGATTCCGAGTGAATCGGAATTTACGCGTTTAGAAATAGAACGTGGTAGGCGGAATCGACAGGTGCGAGGATGGTATAAACACCCCTCGCGTTTCACGTAAAAAGGCTGACCGACAAAAAACAACGAACAATCTAATAAGGAAGGAAGCTGGATTGGCGTCTATGTCATCCAGTTTCGAACAACTAGGAATTTTATCATCGCCCACGTGACGTTAAACAGTTACGCGATGACGCACGTTCCACAGGATGATGGAGGAGTTATAGGACTTAATTTAACTTTGAGTGGTTACGAACCGCCAATGTTGTCGTCAGAGCAGTTTTATTTACCAAGAATAAGTAAATGAGCAAGGACAAGCTGACGTTGAAATAACGGTTTCAGTTCACCTTTCTATTTCGGTAGGATCTATATGAATGCTGCAAGCGTATCAATCAATAGTAATAATATGCATTCAGAATATTTTCATCTAAATATACATTCTAATAATGATTCTTGGAAAAATTAGTTACCTTACTATTATATAGAGAGAAAGCGTTCGTTTGTGTAGTAGGAAAAATCTCAAAAATGAAATTTGTGCTGTGCCCCAAAAGGTTGGGACCAAATTTATATTACGCATTACGTAGATCAAATACATGTATACATACATGTATAGTTCACGTTCACGATAGCGTATCGTCGAAAGATTAGTTGCCCGTAAACTAATTTATTCCTTCGTCCAATTCTCGGAATTAATTAGCGCAGCGATTGCAATACGTTTCATCGATTCGCTTACTCCAGCAAATTATGGGTAGGAGCAAATCGTTATGCAGGCCAGAGAGAGACGAGGATGTAGGAAGCGAACGGTTAGAAAGAGATGACTAAGAATAAGGGAACTCTCGATCCCAAGAATTTATTGGAAATCGTTTTTGTCCGCGTTGAGAAGAATCAGCAGAATCTCATTTCATTGGAAACGACTGCGGAAACGAAAGAAAGTGGGATGAAATTGAAATCACGCAGGTAGGGCGGGGGCGGTAGTGGCAGGTCGGTGTAAAGTAAGGAAGGATCCGGAAATCGGTCCAAAAAAAACCGACAGAGTGAAATGGGGCCGACGGCGAATCCGCGATTTCGTCTTTTTAAATCTTCACTCGGTAGACGAGGGAAAATTAGTAATTACAGGCAACAAAGGAACAGGCTTCAACGTGTAACGAGAATATTAAGACGAGATACAACGTACTTACCTGTACGTTCCTTGCTCCTTGAAAGCACATTGACTCGTCTTCTTCGCTCTATCGTTCCTAAAATTCGTTTAGTACTCACTTCTTAAAATAATAACTGTCAAATGTACGGTTAAAGCATTTTGCGCAAATGAAACATGCTTAGCAACATCAAGACTGTTAAATCCATTGCAAAATTAAGTGGCTTTGGTGACAGAGATTTAACGAAATGAACGAAAGACAGGAATTACTAGCCAGATATGCAGAATAAAAATCAGTTAAAATAATGCATATCCGATTAAAATTTTTTTATAATTTAAGCATCGCAAATATGCATTCACTTGTGGGATTTTCTACATTTTTACACATCGTATATAACATCTCCATTTTCTGTAGACACAGTTTGTTTATAAATACATAAAATCCGCAGTAATCTAGCAATTACTTATTATGCCTAGTAAAATACCGAGCTACAAGATTTACAAAGTCTTTAAATTTACAGAATCTTTTATTTGCATAAATTTGCTTGAAATCTAAAGCGTGGTAATTACGATTTATGCTTCATATGGTAACATACATATATTATATGAAATATCCACATAATCTCAATGACCAGAATATACTTCAAACTAAACATGAAAACGGAATTCCTTGAGAAATAAACACATAAAATCGAATAACCATATTTATGGTCAATTTACATGGTAACATTCTGTATTATCGCGCAGCTATCAGCTGCAGCTGGGTCTACCGCCTTAATCGAGAGACTAGCAGTTTAGCGAACCTTAACAATAATTCACGCTGGTATCCGTAGTCGTGGCCGATGATATAAGCACGCGAATTGCACACGAGAATCGGCAGAATTATGGCTCGCACATTTATCGCAGGCCAAGTGCCGTCACGACGCCGAGATATGCCCGCGTAATCAATGGGGAATCTGAAAATTAGATTCCGCGATCCCGTTAAAATCTGACGCTATTTCCTCGATTACATCCTCCAATTGAGTCAGCCGTCCGCCCGCTCTCGCGCCCCGCGTTCGCCGAAATCGATTCGACACACCTAACTAAGCGAGACGTCACTGCCGATTAATAGGACGAGGATAAACAATAATCCGTACGACGAAACGGACGACATTTCGCGCGGTACGGCTGTCTGATCATAAATAACGAATTCTCCACGTTTTTGTGGAACGGACTTACGCTTCCGACACGATGACACGTCGTCGTCGCGTCACGTCGTAGATAACAGATTTCCCTATATGCATTTTCTTCACTCGTCGCGGTCGTTTTTTTCCAACCTCGTCGCGGCGAACGTGATTAATTTTTGTCCCCTGACTGACGTTCCCTGATACCGGAAGTCGTAAGTTTGAAGAGTTCGAACGTACAAAATATTGGAACGAAAGCCAGAGTTGTTTATGACATTCTGCACTATTTTCTAAATCTGAGAAGAGCAATCACTCACTCGTACATACATCATAAAATTACAATTTCTAAACGAATAATTATTTGGAATGTTATTTAGGATTAGTCAGGACTGTCATCTCAATTATTTATTACGAATTGATTTTATTATAAAAATTGTAAAAAGAAGGGTTGATATGATATGATAAATTCGTTTCCTTAATTATTTTAATACGTAAAGCTTTTAGTAAAATCAATATACGTAAAACGACCCATTTTAGATCATTCTCATTGTCTCACTATTACGAGTTTTATTCTTAAACAGTTAATAATAGCAAACTCTTACTTTCTTTTTAATTAAGGAAACATAGTGCTATTAAATACGGAAATGAAAATCTTTCTAATTGCCAGCGGCAAATATGTGAATTAATTCTGTACATGGAATACTTTTCAACGCTTTTTATAAGAAGGATAAAATTCTGTTTTATGATTGTTCATGCAAACCACAGTTGTCCAAAGGATATTCGCAAAACACGGTACGTTTACCAATAGAAATCGTATGAACAAACTTAACTTCTATATTTTCACTTAATCTTACGCATATTTATAGATATTTTTAACTTTATATATGTATGTAAATTAATTATATTATAATACATTACATAATTAATTAGCCTTTGGGAACGTATTTCGAAATGGAAGGAGAATATTGAAACGTATCTTAGAATTAGAACGAGAAAATAGGAAAGATAGAGAATAATCATGTGACATTGTAGATGTTGCTACTTCATCATTCAATTTCCCAGACATATGTTCCCCTCGTAGTCGTAGCTTCTAGTTTATCTAAGTGTACCATGCGCTCGACGATGTGAGCACTGTCGCGTCATGCCAAGAGCCATAACTCCCTCACGCAATGGTGTCGCTCCCTGTGAGACTCTAATCCATGTGTCGTAATGTTATAGTTTCAAAAGGTTGCAGGAGAACGCCGTGACGAGCTCAGATGGGAAAAGGATCTGGAGCGGAACATCAGGTCCAGGGCGACATCTCCGGACCGGCACCAGGTCGATAGGGGAAGGGCCACCAGTCCCCAGAGAGTGGCCGTTGTTCCGTCTTCCATCGCTGGTAAGATGCCTCACGACTTAGATTCTCTTTTTGTTCTTCGTACCTGTATTGTCCCGCTTGAATTATTCCCACTAGTCCCAGGGAAATCTTAGCGCGACGACGTACAAATTTCAAACACGTAAATTGTTAAAAAATACTCCAGTTACATTCTTTTTCTTGATTTTATTCATATTTTGTAACAATTGATCTTGTGTCTGATTTCTTATTTCAAATAGATCTGGAAAGACTGAACTACTGTTTAGAGAACGAAATCGGTGAAATATGTAATTGCGAATACCGTAGATATTCCCTTCCAGATATTTTACGTTTCATAAAAGCGATAAGCCATTCATTGCGATTGACCTCTCGCTCAATTGGCTCCATTCACATTCAAGTTTTATTTCACTCCTTCTATTCGTCACTTTTCATCGATGCCACCAATCGTGGTACAATCCCAAGGCATGAATAAGCAATTATGAACATGTAGAGGTAGAGAATCCAATTTTTCTGTAGTAATAGAAAAGTAGCAATGTTTTTTCTTTTTCGACACCTCTGCTTTTAATTTAAGCGGTGATGTATTACAATCCCTTCAATATAATCCAAGCTGTGACAAGTAGTCTATATACAGAACGTTGTTGAGAACTTCTGGACATTCATAATAAATAAAAGGCAGCTCTAGTTTTAATTTAAATGACATTGTATTACAATCTTTTCAGTAGAATCCGGATTGTAACAAGTAGGTTATAAAACTTTATAGGAAATTTCAAACAATGATAAATAGAAAAATGTACAATTATATTAATAAAGCAAAATTCAAATGTCGAGAATACGTACATATAAATCGTCGAGCATTCCATCTGCTACATCAGATTTACTGTCGTTTCGCTGTCGCGTCTCCTGATTTAGTCGCTGCATTTTCCCCGGTTTGAAAAATACAATTTTTGATAAATTGCGTGACGTTGTCGCTGAATCGATCCATGCAGAGCCGCCAGAGACCTTGGACCCGGACGAGGAAGAGGAACGGCGAAGGCATACTCGTCGCGCAAGTACCACAGCTCACGTTAGGACTCGAATGACCAGGCAAAGATCGTATGACGACGAGATGAAGAGTATAGCGATGTCCGGGGGCGGTGGGCAGCACGGGCATCCAGAGCCAGGGCTGGGACTTCCGGTGCAGCTACCGAGGCGGGCATCAGCCTACGACGTGTACGCCACGCCAGGAGTCGGTGGACTCAATGCGATGGCCATCGCTGCTGCCCAGCAAAGAGCATCGATCTCGGGGCAAGGTACAGCACATTCTGCTTCTCTGTATTTGTCGAATTAATGCGCCATTTAAGGTGGTTTCAATACCACTGTGTTAGTCAAATCGAAACTTTTCATAAAAAGCTTAAATACAATACATATATAATGCTTAGGTGTTGTGGCTGTACAATCTCTACATACGTGTTTTAAAAAAAGTGTATCTTTTTATTTTGCTACACGTATTAAAAGGTGGATTTTAATTGGAATACGATAAGATAATTATTAAAGTCATTTAACTACTATTTTCTCCTCTTGAATTTTAACACTTGTGTTTTGACAATTTTTACTGTTACTGTATCCTGAGAATTTTATATTGAATCTACGAATCACAAAAATCTGCAATCTTATGATACAAAAAAACTTTGATAGTTTACATTGATAATTTCAGTTTTTATTAAATAACAAATTTAATTTTCTACATCACGACCTATTTAAATTAACACATAATTCATTATTATCGTATCACTTTTCTGATCATTATATGTATATTATCTTTCGGACATTAACATGATATTAATTTGATGTTATAATTACAATAGAACGTTTAAAATGATCTATACAGGGTGTTCCCGAAAATGTGAGCATTTCGAAAATGGATTCAATAATTAGATAAGAACAGTCACTTGTAAATAATTTATGGAAGTATTCAACAGAGTCGTAAGAATTGCTGGAAGACAGAAACGATTATAATTCAGAGATTAGGTGATATCTGGTATATATCCACTTTTTCTTGTTTTCCATTGAATCCATCCCCGAAGTCGTGTCCATATTTTTCGGAAATATCCTATTCAATAAATATAAGGGCGCATACATACATAAATGTCGGATATGGAGATTTTATCACAACCACAATGTCGAATAATAGAATTATGACCTCAGCTGCATAACGTAACGTTTAAAAATAGAGTTCAACTCGCGAGCACGGTTTGGTAATTAAGTATATTAACGTAATTTTTCACCGCACGGTAATATCATGGCGAGGCCGGAAATCATGCGAAATTTACAATACACCGGCTGCATTAATTAATTCCATTTTAATTAAAGGATGACACGTATGAGTAGCTGATAAATTGCAGTTTTCCATTACGAAATAACGCGACCGGCGGATCCCAATTATTAACCGCGTTATCACGCAAAACTTCAACATTTTGCAACCGGAGTGATCGAATTTTACGGATACTTATCTGTAATCATTTCGTTTATTATCTCTCGTCACTTATAATTGATCATATTAAATCGAGTACAACGAGACGTCCAGACAAATTATTGGCTTTCTTTATATTTATATACTTTTCCTATCCACATATTAATATTGTTCGACATCGAAAAACAGACACACAATGGCGACAGAAATAACGCCTTGTATTAAATAATTTATTCTGTAAACGTTCTCTCGGTTAAGGATTGGCAATTTGTGTCGTGTTTCTTCTTTATGCTAAAATTACAGAGAAAATTTCAAACAGTATTATTCAGCCTTCAGAGAAATCGAAATATTTCCAATACAATTTTGTGTGGACAATTTTTTCATATAGACGAAGTAATAATCGCAAGTAGATTTTCTTCCTAGACGTACCGGAAATGAGGAAGGAGATTGAGCATGAGCTTGTTCTAAGCCGAACCGATTTTTGTTTGTCATAAGGTACCGCCTTTAACGATGAACGTCTATACAATTCTTATGTTTTGAAGGGAGTAATAGTAGTAAGAGCGAGAGCGTACATACGTTTTGATCAACATAATGTGCACATGTCTCTCTCACTATCGTTACTCTCCTCGAAATATAAAGACGGTTTTGCCGTTCGAGGCGGTTAAAAATTAACCCGTCTTAAGACGGACTCCTAGGCAATCTCCCTCTCATCTCTGTACTTATCTTCACATCGTAAAGCTTAAATGTCGATAAATAATAAATTAGCAAGTCTATAAATAGAAAATGATTCGACTATCTGCTTCCGCTCCAAAGTAGACTCATTGTTTAATTCTTTCGTGCGTGTGCTTTTCTGGACGTGTTTCTGGACTAATATATGCACGAGCTTTGTCAGTCCTAATCTATTTAAAACGTTGTCAAGTGTATCTTCCACGGTCAGTGAATACATTTAAGATAGCACGGTGTCCCTTTGACGGCGGACTTCACCGTGGAACAGTTACAAAGAACAGTCCATTCGATTATCCCTTTCGCGATCCTTACCAAGCAGACCGGAAGTCTTGCGGACATGTAATCGAGTTTAACTTACTTCAGCAACCAACTACAGCTGCCGCCGGTTAATCACATCTATGTCCACAAGCCGGACCAGGCCTAACTTAGTTTCATTTCGGCCGGATCTCTAACTCAAACTTTAATCTCTAATGACCGGAATACTTTGTAACAAAATGAACATGTCCTGATTAATTTCATGTTTATTCTACGATATTTCAGATAGTAATTCGACGTATTCGCATATAAATTAACAAATGGTGTATCAATTTTTGGAATCTATGTACTCAATCTATAGAAGTTAAAGGGACAAGTATTATTGTCCTTTAGGCACAATTATAAATTAAGGAAGAAAAGAAACGGAATTAATTTAATTATTTGTGGAAGATATATAACAATGTCTCGGAAATCAGATAATAATTGGATGGGTACAATCGAATTCTGAGGTCTTAGTTGTAATCAACCTGCCCTAACTAATTAAGTATGTTATATCGGTCATCGACAAAATTCCTTCTCCTTGAATATCCCGCTTAATTAAATATTCAAATGGCTTGCAAATCGATTAATTTGACGAACGTTTATTGTATTCAAACATGTATAGATTATTGAATTCGATGTCGATATATTCATGCTCTGATAATTATTTAGAATAATTTTATATTATATATTGCGATGAGATTGGATTGGAACTAAATTAAATCCTGGTAGTTGATGAAGTTCATCTGTCAATATATGTAGAATTCTATTTGGAACATCAATAAACTGTTTCAATTTAGATGCATTTCTTTAATATACGCCAGAGTAACATTAATATTCCTTTAATATGTAGATTGATAAAAGAAGAAGAATCCTTTTTCGAACATCCATAAACTCTATTTCCATCTAGATACAATTTTTAACGTACACCAGAGTAACATTAACTTTCTTTTATTATTTAATATGTAGATTGACAAATTAAGAGGATTTATACGTTCATGCGAATGAAATTTTCTTTTCCCCAGGTGGCAGGAAACCAGAGGAAAGACCGACTGGTCGTAGATCATCGTTTCGCGGGAAGCCGGTGATGCCGTACGAAGTCGGAGCTGAAGATGAAACTAGAATGAACTTGGAAGCATCCCCTGTGCCAGTGGTCTCACCGAAGGTGGTTCCAGCACCCGTTCTGGGACCGGACGAGGAACGACGCACCAGGCGAAGGGGCTCCCAATTGTGAGTACTATATTATACAAATTAACTTACTTCTCTGAAGGTAATTCTCCTTTTGAGCGTAATAGAGAAATATTGTTGAATTGCTAGCAAAATTGAAATTTCAATAATACAAACTTGTAGTTCTTACATTAGGTATTAAATAGAGAGAAATATTTTCTTATACCGGAACAACATGTGAAAAATTTCTGTGATCAATTTTAATAAAGAATGACGTTAATTTGTGAAATGAGTTAGGAAACGACGGAAATAATGGTCGTAATTTCTGGTAAATTGCGTTGTATAAAGAAATCTATAAATGCAGTCAATCTTTTAATAGAAAAAAATACAGACTCTTTGCATGCAGTAACTATTGTGTATTAAATAGAGAAATATTTTCCTGTTCTGGAACAACGTGCGAAAAACTTCTGCGGTTAGTTGTAATCAATATTTACGTTAGTTTGTGAAATGAGTTAGGAAACGAGGAAAATCGAGATGAAATATCTGGTAACCCGTCCTGTATGTAAAGAAATCTATAAATGTAGTCCATTTTTGAATAGAACAAATACAGACTTGTTACATGCAATAACTCTCAGGTATTAAATAAAGAAATACTATCCTGTCCTCGAACAACGTGTGAAAAATTTCAACGATTAATTTCAATCAAAATTTGCATCAGTTTGTGAAATAAGTTAGAAAACGACGAAAATCGAGATGAAATATCTGGCGAATCGCCATGTATATAAGAAGATTCATAAATGAAGTCGATCTTTAAATAGAAAAATATTTATTATCCAATATAAGCTAGGAAGGAATATGCGCGATACTGCATTATAAAACACCTCGTGTATATTTACTTGTCGGCGGGCTTTTTATTTGTGTATGATGAAACAGAAACTTCTAAGCCAAGCAGTCGATGTGTTCGAGCTGGCTTCCTCTTCCACGTCTCAGGAGATTTTCTTTCTGCAAACGAAATATTTTCTCTTTGAGAAAACAAGATAAGAGACGTACTTTCGAGGCACGCCACGTCGGAGCGAACCGAATTTCACCTTGAATCGAATAACATTTTATGAATGCGCTTTGAATTTATTAATTCCACGAACACTGCCTGCTTACCGCTTTACCTCCTTTACCCGTTATTGCGGTCCCCTTTCACATCCATGAGTAACGGCTGAATTCCTTCTCTATCTTCTACAATTTTTATTCATCGTTCAACAGAATTAAAGAATACCTGCATATTTTTTTAAACTTAATGTTTCATTATAACGCATCGAATGTAATTTTCAAATATGGATTGCAATTGCCTGATTTTTATTGTAATTTTTATGAGGAAACTGGAGATGTGGAGTTGTTTAACAATTTTTAAATAAACGAGCTACTAGGATTAGAATAGTTGAATAGTTCATCCATAAATGCTTTATTTAAGCTATCGATCTTGAACTTAAATATCTGTAATACGCAAACGGACAGGATCGGGAGCAAATAACCATGAAGTCGCTCATCCTGAATGACAGCACAAACCTCGAAGGGATTGGCTCGCCTTGACCAATTAAAAATATATTATAGTATTGGAAACTTATTTCTAAAACATATAAATACATTTAAAGATATAGAAACTATTTTAAATTAATTTTTTACGTTCTTTTTGTTAATTTGAATCTCGGAGAAGAAATGAAAACAATTTTGTACAGGTCTCTGTCTCTGTTAAAGGAAGTTTGAAAATACGATATTTCTTTAACTGAACAAGGTAGTACATCCCCTTGAATTCTTCCCTCGAAATGATAGCGAGAAACGGTGCGAGGGAACGGACAATTAAAGTGTTAAAAAGCGGTCTAACTCCCGTGGATCCGGTCGCGGAGCAGGAAATTGCTAACATTTTCAAGCCCCTTTTCTTCCCTCGTAAGGACGCGGTAGCTGGCGGAGCCAGCAAAAAGTCGAGTAGATAGCAAACACGGGCTACCCGCCACTAGAGAAATAATTAATGCTACACCTATGCAATCTCCCGCGAACGCGTCCTCCTTCGTCTGTAGCCTCGTTTGCGCTGTTATCGCAGTTCCGCACATCTAACCATCCATCCGAATTCTCGTTCTCGTCGTCGTCGTCATCGTCGGTGCCCGGGTTGCTGGCAACTGGTTGTTATTAATATCCGAGACGAAGTTGTTTCTCATTAGGTTTGCGCACTTACGAATTACGGTCCGGAATCATATTAACTCCTGAGATGAAGGCGTCCCTTGGTTTTCGAGAAGTTAAGTCGGGAGCACTGGATTAGTTGACGTTTGATATTCAAAGCGCAAACCGTAATTTACCGAGTAAGATGCTTTTTTAATTAGCAAACGGGACTCGATTGAATTTCAAGTTTACATCGTGGCGATTCCTGTTTGCCACGTTATTTCTCTTTACGTTCGACATTCTATTTTATCATTTTATTATTCTAGTACTTTTCACTCGGGATATTTAGTGGCCAGATTTCCGAGTTTTCGATTGTAGGATTTTTCACATCATGTTTTTAATTTAACTCT